CAATGTTTGTAAAAGGTCTCTGTTGCACTTTGGTGTTGTGTCATCATTCTACACATACATACTAGTATTATGTATTCCGATTCATCAGTAGAGAAAGAATATCAAAGTATGTTACGTCAATGATATTCTGTATGGTTACACACCTGTCTGCGATAAATAACAATCAGGCATACGTCCACCTGTTAAAAGATACAGGTAAGTGAAGAGGTTGACCCAACTAAAGCCTCATGTGCGTTTTTTACCTCCATGGTTGGATCTATGAAAGGTGTTTAGAAACAGTAAGAAACTAGAATTTCCCAGCCACATACCCTACTCCCGAGTTAGAAAGTCCTAAAAATTGTGTCCTAGCACAGAAGGCAAATGTAACTTTTTATGGCTTCACCACAAAGTGGTGAAGACATATTGTGTTCCCCCATGTTTCTTCTCCTTCTCCTCCTTCTCCTGCCATTTCTTTAAATGGATTCATCTCTGCCATTTTCAGGCCAAATAACACGAAATTTGGCATGAAGGTAGAGTGGGCAAATACCCTGACGCGTTTTTTTCATTTTTTTGAAAAATTGTTTTATTTGGGTTTTTTGGCCATTTTCAGGCCAAAAATATACATTTTGAGATCTGGTTCCCAGGTACTAAAACCAAATGACCTGAAATTTGGTATGGGGATACCTTGGACATATGTCTACAAAAAGTCATTCAAGCTTTTGACGTACACCACTTTATAATTGGGAAAAATAAGGCTTTTTGGCTATTTTCGGTACATTTTTGTACATTTTTGGCTCCTGTGCCCTAATATTAAATCTGAATGACCTGAAATTCGGTATGGGGATACCTTGGACACATGTCCAAAGAATGCCATTCACGATTTTGACATATACTACTTTACAATTGTGTAAAATAGGGCTTTTTTGCTATTTTCGGACCAAAAATGTACATTTTTGGCTCCTGTGCCCTAATATTAAATCCGAATGACCTGAACTTTGGTATGGGGATACCTTGGACACATGTTCAAAGAATGTCATTCTCGATTTTGACATACACCACTTTAAGTTATGTAAATAGGGCGTTTTGGCTATTTCTGGTATTGGAAGGTTCCATTACTGCATGGGGGTGTAGACTATTGGCAGCCATCGTAGGATAGATCCATTTTCGGTATGGGGGATGTGGTGAAGCCATCTGCTGCATTTGCTCTCAAGCAAATGTCGGCCTTTCTAGTTCTTATTGATTCTACAAATTAAGGCCACACTAACCTAATTTGTTGGTTCTCGGATTCGCCTCTTCATTTTCTTTTTGATTTACAAAAAAAAAAAGATTCTGGTTCTGAGTCAACTCAAACATGCTCATATTTTGTCCCCAACAGTTGAGGAACATCCTTTTCTTCCTGCAGTTTTTTTTCCATCTATCAATGCAGTGGTTTGATTAAAAGTTCAAAATTCATTGTTTAAATATTAACCCAGCCTTTTGTGTTGACTTCATGGCTCCTATCGTAGCGTTTTGGGCTATCATAGGATGCCTAGACCTGTTTTTGTTTTTATTTATTTTTGCCTTGTCACTTTATATTTTTTCTGAAAAAAATTCAGAGAACCAACAAATTGAATTGGTGTGATCTAAGCCCCAGTTTGCATGATGTTCACTTTACCTAAACATGCAAACCGCCCAAACATACAATACATGTATGTCACTTCTTTCCTACCTCAGGAGCTATCTACCACAGAAATAGCACTGGCATTCCGATGGCTTAAATTATGGCTTAAATGGCTTACATAATGGTAAGTCACCTCCCTGCCCTAAAGCACATGGGGAGTATGCAAAATTTTCCCACCCTTGAATCTTGTGGAAAGGTAGCCTCTACCAGGCTTCGGGAGGCGGCTGAAAAGAGAAGAAATTGACCAAATAGAGAGATAGCATGCCAAGGGAGTTTGGTCGGCTGGAAGGAACAGTTTGCAGCTCCAGAACTCCCTTGGCATGCTACTAGTATCTCTCTATTTGGCCGATTTCTACTCTTTCCAGCCACCTCCCAAAGCCTGGTAGAGGCTAATCCTCCCCCATCTCATACAGTTCCTCTGCATGACAAAAAAGGTCAACATTCTGCAGGTTGCATGAGGATAGTTCAGGCATACATTAGACAATATGTGCAGTTGGTATGGTAATGTCCTCTGGTAGTGCTCTTTAAAAAAAGAAGGCATGCAATAGATACGGAACTTTTATTGAAGAGAATTTCTGCATAATCTCATCACTTTAATATTCAGACCAGTGTTACAGTAGCAGTTTTGCACGATGTAGTTGAAATGATTAAGCTACTTGCAGGACAAGTCTGGGTATTTGTGTCCCAAAGAACCAGAACAATGGATTTTGCAACACTTGAAGAAAGTCTAATGAATCGGAAAATATTCTTGTCGCCCTTCAAAGGGGTGTGAAAGATTAGATAAATATCTCTCACCTCTTACAATTGCCAGGTTAAGGTTGCACATACCCTCTCCCACTTACAGTTCCCACGGGTGACATGCTAGCATGTTATTGTTAAAACCCACTGGTTTCAATCTATTGGCTAATTTAATCCTGAATCCTAATAGTATCTGACCGGAGGGGGCCTCTGTCCCAGAAACTGTGTCAGGAGCTAATGCATATATAGATGATAGTTCGTCATGAGTCAGTGCAGGGGCAAGTGTGTGATTGGCTGATTTTGCAAATGTCAATCTCTCTCTCTTATATAACATCGCATGTAATTGCAGGGAATGCATTGACTTGATCAAGAAATCTAGGCTAGAATCCATCCTGAATGTGCTCACTGCTCTGAAGCCACCTGATGATTCTACATGTACAATGTAGCTCCAGTGTCATCTGATCTCATCTAGGAGAATACTAAGTAGTCTGGTACCAGAATAAATGATCATGATGATGTTTGAAACATCAGTACATGTATAACACATTCATCATCCACAATGTGAGTGACAGCTCTGACTGATTCTGTGTCACATGGTCCTCTGTAACATCATGGTAAAGGGATCATCCTTCAGCGATGTGGAAGTTCAATTCCCATTTCAATACAGCTTCCCAGAAATGTTTATATATAACACAAGGGCTGATCGATCATTTACAATGTAAATGGAAAGGGGCGCCAGTGTGCCAGACTATTCTGCTAGGAAATAATGAGAGAAGCTGACTCGAACTAGCATAACATGGATTGTAGGTTATAAGAAATCATTATTCATGTGAAAATATCACTTCTTACTTATTCATTACTTCTCACTTTTCTCAAAAGTGGTATGAATGACAATCCATCTTACATTTTGGGATACTAAAAAGGGTACAAACTAGTCAATTTTCTAGCATTCTCATCAAATTCATTCAAGGAAAGCATTACCCTGTCAGTAGAACTGAACACATCTTTCACTTGAAATGTCTGTTAATCATTTTTTTCATGCAACATCACTAGCTCCTCACTTGTCAGCTACTTGTACAGTTTTATCATTTTCCATGGCAAAGCTTAGTTTGCCTCTGCAAGCACCACTTGCCCTGTCAGGATGCCCTAGCTGTCATTTTTCGCATCCATCTCAGATTGTGAGGAAGGAAATTATTTCATCTGCGTCCAGGCAACGGTTGTCTGAAACACGTCAGCATTGCCTTGGTAACCTGATGCTGTCATCAGGCAAAGGAGAACGGAGCTTGCGATGCACAACATGAGACGCCCACAGCTCATACCGTGGGAACCAATACAAGGCAACAGGCCGCAGGCAATGACGCACAGCTCTCATTAACACCTATTTAGAGACACCGGCCTCAGCAGTAACCTAAGGCGATCCAAACTTACTATAGATCTACAAACAAACTGCCATTTAGCCTTGATAAAGTCTGCAGTGCTGGAGCCTGGGGCACTCCATACCAAACCAACACGACAGTTCGGTAGACTTTGTAGTTTTGATACACTTTGGTTACTTTTGAGGCCAGTGACACCTAACTTACATACGGGATGTCATCTCCCAAATTTGACCTGGTTACAATTTCAGAAAAAAAGTAATTTGATTCAACATTAATGTTAACATTACTAGTTACTTACTACCAACTACTAACGTTAACATCAAGGGTAAATTTATGTCATGTAATCAGGAGATTTAATTACCTTTAGGCCACAGCAAGTAAATTTTATAGATGACATCCTCCGTAGGCTCCAAATCAAATGCAATAGGGCGAGAAAAAAAACAAGGCAGGCCAAAAAACATGATTCCTACACTTTCAAATTTTGACATAAACCTTGTCAAACAAGAAAAGATACCTATACTCTGCTAAGTTTACTGCCAAATATTTGGGGTTTTCAATCATTGTACAAATAATTTTTATTCAGTGAAGATCACATATAAAAGGAATGAAATGCATCACAAGTACTGCATCAACAAGGTAAAAGACAAAACAATGAATCAGAGCCTTGTCTTGTCTCCTCTCTTCATATTTATCTGCCATCCACCTTCCGGCATGGCAACAGACATCTTTGCCTATTTTGGCCTGTTGACCACTGTCAGAGGGCAACAAAATTCTTGTTTTTTTCAAAATCAATCGAAAATTAATGCCCTGATGTCACCCATGAAAATTACTTCTTGTAGCCTTATAGACTAACCCTTAACTAGTTATACCATCTTCGTAGCCTCTACCAGGCTCTGGTATACTATCCCTTTATTACGGCCCATTTCTACTATTTTTCCAGCGATCCGCGGAGCCTGGTAGAGGCTACCATCTTCGGCCAAATAGACAGTTGGTCCGCTAAAGAAGTAACGTTACATTTGTCACGGACCAACTCCCCTGTCTATTTGTTCAATTTCTACTCTTTCCTGCTGCTTCCGAAGCCCGGTAGGACCGGTAGGTCCTTGCCTGGAGGAAGCAACACTAACCACCAAATCCGCATGGTTGGCACGTGAGATGTCCCGGCTACCATAGAAACGTCAATCACGAGCTGCGAGCCAAGGGCCAATCAGATGCAGGCTCATTTTTTTATGAGCATAATTTATGAAATCCTTAAAAAGTGGGCGGGGCCACCTACTTTTCCAGGAGTAGATGATCAGGCAGCACAGGTCGGAGAATATTGGGGTCGTCCTGCTCGTTTATTTCTCCTTTGCGAGGGTTAATTGTTGATACCGTGACGAAGATGTCAACTGAAGCACCAGCTCGGGTGAACGTCGCGGCGAATCTCGGCGGAATGACGCTGAAATCGCTGCTGGAAAATCCCACCGTTCTGAAGCCTCCACCGGAACCCAACCAGAATGGTGAGTGTTTTTTCTCTGCTCAAAATTCTCGGTCAGGTGCAACATGGCGTGCGTCCAGAGCTGGACAGTGGACAACACGTCCGTTCCAGGCCATCCCGGGCAACTCCTGAATACAGAATAGGAGGGAAATATCGGTTGCGTATATCTGGTGGACATCAACTTTCTCCTTGTGTCTTTATTTCTTTGCGATCGTCGGCTTATTGACATCTTTAGTTTCGCGGAAATTTGTCGGGGAACATTGCCTCCTTGTGGTTTGTCAATGGCTAAAGCTCTCCCAACCTGTAGAAACATACACTGTCGACAACAGTCGTGTTTACCATTTTTGGTTCAGCTATGTTGTCAAGCCTGTCAGCTAGACCGAGTAATAGCAACCATCTGTGTGTTAGTGAAGGCCTAAAGGCAAGTGTATCCCCATGGACCACACAGGCTTTCACAGTAGATGCAACCACAGTCCCCTCCAAAAACAGCCATTCCTTGGTTGACTGCCAACAGGAGATGTCACTCATGGACTTTTAGTGGTAGTGCTGTGGTGCGTTTTGATTGCTTTCCAAAAAGAAATACAAGCAATTGAATAGGATAGAAAGAAACATCAGCAAGCGTATCTAGATGACAATGTTCCTATACGACCTGTCAGCTCCTTTTCATCAACTGAATCACTCACTCACCCAACTAAATGTTAACCTGAAATATGTAGACTATTGTCACGGGACCTAGGGTTACATGCCAACTCTTACAACCCAACATGCTCCCAATAATTCCAAGAAAATTTTGGCTCAGCTGCCTTGAGGAAGACCCTAGCAAGTGTGAATCCACAAAGATGGGCACATGCTATACAACGTCACTGTTCACCCCACCATATACCGTCTATTCTTCGCGCATTCTCATTAACCATGCAGCCAATACCTCTTCTCATGTCTTTCTCAGTTTTTTTTTTTACCCAGGATATAGACATATATAATAGTTCTAGTGAAAGTGATCTTTGTCTGGACTCTTGCGTCATACACTGCGTCATAGTGTCAGCTATAAGTTACGATCATCACTTATATATACCACAAAAAACACTGCATCCTACTATTCCTGGGATCCTTGGTATTCACATTCAAAGTCCTGGGAACTTAGAGGTTTTGTCTTTCTTATTTTTTAACACATGAAATAACGTGCATTATTGTGCGTCACTCTGTATGTGTAATTTATGATGCAAAAACAGCTTCTTTTTTGTGTGCCCTCTCGCATTTAGCTTTGCTGTCCCCAGAGGATGTCATCCATAAAATCAAATTCAGTGTGGCCTTACAGTGATTCCTTGGATTGACATTATCCTGTCATCACATGCATGTCAATGAAACATGACTGATGGCCAGGGCCGGGGTAGGAGGAGGAAAAGTCCTGACCCCTTTTCACAATCCTTGTTTGGAGGTTTAGGAGGAAGAGGCATTGTATCAGAATAAAACGAATGTGGAAATGGGAGTGCATCGATTAATTTTCTGTCAGGAAAGGAAATTTATAGATGGATTGGTAGCTAGGAACCCACATTGAATATAACTGTAATTGTGCCAATTACAGGAGGGTCGTATCACATCAACCCACACACTGATTAACGTCGCACAGCATGATAGTATCACAGGTTACACTCAGCAGCCAAGGGATACATCATGATCAAACCATAAATCAATGAGTTCCCAGAAAAGAGCACCTTCACCTTGTTTGAGGCCAAATTGTCAATGCTATTAAAATGTAATTTTGCAATACAAAATGAGAAGTGTAAATGCAAAGCAGCTCAGGTACAACTTATAGAGGTACTCATGACGCATGTAGAAAATTAAGTATGCGTACACAGACACTGAACAATAATCATAGCTTTATAAACAACTTACTTACAAGAATAAATTTAAAAAGTGCATACGATGTCACAAATTCAGCCTCAGTGGCAAAACAAGGAGCCTACATCAAGCAGATATCAACTGTATTTTGCCGCTTTTAGATTTCCTGCCCTGAAGTTGACGTAGGAGCTCGAAATAAAACAGCAGGTTCAAAGTATTCAAGCTGGAATAGTCTATTACATGCCTCCGACCAGTTTTGTTGGACCATATTTTTGTGCACTGTTACCAGCTGTAATCTAATAGTAATATGCCTGCGTCCTGGAGACAATAACCTGACAACGGTGTGCATCGTGCCAGCCTACCGACCTGACATAATGAAATCCTGGCCATGTGATACAGCCAACAAGATTGGCACACAGTCTGGTACCCAGGTAAAGTAATGACTTCTATTCTTAAGCTCAGGAGACGGGCTGTTTTTTTTCCTGACAGCTCAGGGCCTCCAAACATCACGATGTAAACTTGAAAGGATCCTCCCCACCAAATCTCTGTAATCCCCACCTGGTAGACATGCCCTTGCAGGCAGAAATTACCTTCCTGTTACAAAGATTTATATCTTCCATGCCTCGAACTTTGAATGCGGAAGGTCAGTTGAAATGATTTACCAAGAATTCAGTAGAGGAAAATCGTACGAAATGTTTTGGTGTTCTATGCATTGATTGAAAAGAAAGACATCCATTGAACTTGAAGCCTTTTTGCCATGCTCACTCTGTAAGTCTTTGCTCAAATTTTGGTAGGTTCAGAGATAAAATCTCGAGGATTGAAAAAAACTCACTTTCCATTATTCAGCTTGTTGTGTTTCTTGCCTTTGGCTAAGTTTTGTCACAAAAGGGTAACAGTGTACCTGTTGTGGATAAAAGGTAAAGAGGTTATCATATATCATGATCACATATCATAAGTAACTTGAAGCAAAAATTCATGCAGATTTGAGGTTGTGTCTAACCCAATGATTAAGATGGGTCCACCTTAAGCTTTGTGAAATTGAAGAATGTACTTATATGCCATATGGTTGCATATTGTTACATATTGTTACATATTGAAATACACGGAATAGGATCACTAAAAACAAATGTTTTCAGTAAAAATGTTGCTACGTGTAACAACCATCTTTAGTCCAATTTTATCAATTCCTTGCATCTTGAATAAAAAATGGAAAGACAAACCAGTATGATTCATCATTAAAATCTTTATTTTTAGAAATCGAGATCTAGTCAAACATGCATATCAAAGGAGAAACTGCACACTCTACTCCAAACAGGATTTCAGTAGTTATCCATATGGATTTGGGAGTACTTTTATCTAAAGACCATCCATGGATTCCATGTATCCACGCACCTGGTGTCAGCTAAGTTTAGAGTTAAGTGACAGTACACCGAGTTAGTATACAACTGTTACTGTAACATTGCCTGTGCAGGTATGACAGTCATCATGTCTTTCATATATACAATGCTTAATAATAATATAGTATGTCTCTGGGACTTGGTATACAATGTAATACTAGTAGTTCTTTTCACTTAGCTGACATTTTGTTCCGTGACAATTCAAGCTTGTTTTGTATGCCCAAAAAACAACCAACATCCTACCTGTACTATGTGATACCATTACATGAGACTTTGACATTTGCTTGCGACTTTGACTGAAGGTTAGGATAATAATAGAGCTGTCACAGTGTCTTGAGCACCCAAATGCCTCAGTGTCAGAAGACCAATTGCTACTAGAAGGTAGGATTTATAAGTCATAAGTGATATGACAGCCTATACCCTCCAAGCAGGGGTTTACAGAGCCTTGGATTCAAGTAGGACTAGGTAAAAGGAACAAGGCATCAACTAGGCTTTGCCATTGAAAATTGTGACATATGAAACAGTTGTAAGTAAAGCCCTACACTAGACTTCTGAATCTGACATCTAACTGAAAGTTTGTCATCATCAAGAAATTGTCAAACAAATGCTTAAAAAAAAGGCTAGTATATTATAATGTTTCATAGATTTGGTATAATCCTTCACTCGCCTTGGAGAGAGGTGAAGGCGTCGCATGGTGGAAAACGTGACTGACACGCGTGTTTAGACTTAAAAACAAACATCAACCCATTGATTCAATATGACCTACATCTCGTAAGTAAACATGGGTTAAACCTTAACTAGATATGCTAATTAGCAATGGGGTCAGCCAGTGGTCAACCCGGGGTTAGTGACCTCTTCACGGTGGTAACATGACTCTTGAAACACAGTTGAAGCTTAGGAGTAAACTCAATTTCTATAACCCTTGGACTTAAGTTAAGTGCTTGAATTCAGCATTTATGAAGTTTGGTATTGGTTTCCATAGATGACAATATGACAATATAGGAAACTCAACCTCTAAACAGGATCAAAAACAGGTCCAGGGACTACTAAGTATAATAATATGGTTACCACAAATGTAATATTGATAAGGATAATATTATGGGAGAGATGAGCAAAGAGCTTGCATTTGCTGGCAAATGAAGTCACTTTCGTATAGCCAGTACATTAACCTACATTTATGCCCAGATGTTGCCAAACCTCTTGTACGATATACATGTACTTCAGGCAATTCTAACAGGATCCCACTGCCTAATGAAAATGTCATTCTGGTGACCTTTTACAAACTCCTTTTAGTTGTACACCAGTATGTAATTTGAATTCAGTTTGAAATGTTCCATTTAGAAAGCATAATGCTGCAAGTATGTACTCAAGAGTCAGCTGACATAGTCGTTGACTAGCTAACTCAACCTCCAGAGTTGCTGCCAGAATATGTATGATATAAGCTATCTAGTATGTTTTAGAGCCTGACATGCTTAATAATGATTACATGTAATTGACATGTGCATGTGGCAAAATTTCTAGGATTGGTAGGATTTCCTAGAAACTAGAGCTTTCATCTGTCTGGTTGGAAATAACAAAGATGACTCATATCATTTTATAGATTTAGGGTCATGTTAGAACAAAGTGACTACAGAACAGCTGTTACTTACTGCAATTTTTCAGTACCTGCGTAAATTATGTGAAGTAGATCTTTTTTCCCAAGAAGCACTGCCTTACAGGTGATGCAAGCTGAGACATGGCGTACGTGACTAACATGTTCAGATACCCGGTACCAAGACCTGCAAGTAATGCATGGCCTTGTTATACATAATAGGACAAGCCAACCATTGCTTGTTATGGAAGACTAAACTCATGAAAGATTTGCATATCATATTGTTGTGCAGATTGCAATAGCTTACGAAGGATATGAAAAAGTATTCTCATGTGAACCTGAAAACTGTGCGTGATAAACTTGCGTGTGAAAAATTTGTGTGAGAAAAACTTTTAAGCTTTAAACAGCAAAGTTTTTAAATCCCTTGGGAATCAGCTAATTTGCATATTTTCACGCGAAGATTTTTCATGTGCAAGTTGTTCACGCGCACAAAACCCCATTTCATGTGAACCTCTGTATCCTTGAACCAGGGCGGAAAAAAGTTTGCAATGCTCTAGACCAGACAAAGGAGTGCATTTATGCATGTAACATGTTGCCTGGAAATGTGAACATTTGTCATTGTTCAATTCAACAAGAACAAAATACCCCGGTACTAATGTTAAGAAAGAATGTCATCTTGCATAACAAATTTCAGTTGTTATGCTTGGACAAAATTATTCTTCCATAGGTCAAGACCCATCCTAATGGCAGGTGGCAAAAAAATACACATCTTTTCATCTTCTTTACATGTATTTGCAAATATATGATGGAAAAGATCTTTTGACATCGCCACATGTATGTATGATAAACATGTAGACAGTAGTTAAAAACTAGAATCAAATCATATTCAATATTTGTTACTACAGCAGAAAAAGACCAGAAGCAATTGGACTGGAGCAAGGATGTGGATCCAACTCTCATCGCCTCTGCATTCCTGGGGCCAAATCTCTGGAACAAGACCATCGCAGCCGACAGCGATGACTTTAAGGTACACTGTTTATCACCATGTTTTTCTTTCCTACCCAGAAGTGATAAAATATGCTTGACTGTACACATTTGTTTAGGGCAAGGACGTTCAACAGCACAACTCCTTACAAGTTGCAAAGCAAAGCAGTCTATGCTTGTCAAAGGTGCCCTCTTGTGGTTGGCAACTATGACTGCACACTTATTCAACTGCATGGATCAAAAGAGCCCCCTACCAGCAGTGGGAGAACTGCAGTCAGTGCCTGACACCAGATGAGGTCAAACAGGTAGCCTGGTTGACATTATATGGAAATGTGACTAATGCTTGAAATTAAGGATATGGCCTTTTTTTATAGCTGATAGTACATAAAATGAGAATGTGCCAGGACTTGCATTTTAGGCCAAGTGCACCAGTACACAGATCTACTTCTAATATCCAGTAGCAGTAGACAAAAAACGAAATTGTTGATTCTGGTTTCTTTCAATCAGATAAGACATTATTGAGGGCATCTCCACAGTGGTTACCTTACACTTGACCTGTATGTTGCTTTTACCTCTTGTCTGTTGGATACTGAGCTGTCAGATAATAGCACGGACATAAAGAACAGCACAACTCCTTTTCAGAGGTTGTAATCAGTTCCTTTGACATGATTTTGTCCTTTTGTTGATGTACATCGAATGTGCTACCTTGTGAGTGACTTTGTAACTACATGCAGTATTGTGCCCGCAATTTCATCACATGTCAGAAGTGCCACCTACAAGTTATGACATGAATAGCAGGCCTTTGTTTTGGGTCTCAGTTGCATTTCATGTCATTTTGTTGCCCATATACATGTACATCATATCCAGTCTTAGAATGTTTTTTTTCAACACTATCAGATGATGATTTAGTTAAAGTTAATGGAGTTATGA